CTTTAAGGCCCAAATGAATTTTTCGGATTGTGAAGATACTTCCCCAGAGTGTGTAATTTCACCACCAAACTCTTAATCTTATCAGCAAAATTGAATATAGGACTACTTTTTCCTTTAGCATGTGGCCCCGTCTACATCTGCAGTAATAGCAACCTTTTGAACATTGATTCTCATTTCAGTGCTTGAATGGAGACAGAAGAATGTAGATGCAAGTGGAAAATAAATGTAGATTACCAAAACCAAAATGTGTAGAAGCTTGCTGAGCTCCTGACAAGTGTTTTTCTCTAGTTCAGGAAAAGTCCCTTCTTAAAATAACAAAGCAGTTGTCTCTTCTTGAAATAACGACCAGGCCCAGTCAATTCCCTGCAGATAAGCTCTTCAAAAATATTTAAAAACCCAAATTCCCTGGTGTTTCAGGGAATTTCCTCATGCAATCTAATGCATGTGAGAAACAAATTTCATACTCTCTATTTACTATTTCATACAAATTTATGCCAGGGTTTCTTTTGCTTATAGAACAAATTCAAACAACCTAGTTTCTGACATAAACAAATCAATAACATTATGTACAAACTATTTGATTTCAGTTAATAGAATTACATGTGAGATACTGACTCTTGTATCCTGCAGAAATGGAAACAAAGCAGGACTTTTTTCAAGACATAGGGATTAGTGCTGAATTCTGTATGCAACAAATACCAATTTTAGATTATGCACTGTAGACACAAAGCAGCATTGACAGAGAATTGTTCATCTGTTCTGTAGCTTCCAGATAAATTTACCACAATGACTTCAGGTAGGCCTTCAGCTTTACTGATGACAAAAAATACAAGAAATAGATAAAACCAAACCACAAATATTTCACCTTTTTCTTCTGAAGATTTATTCAAATAAAGTCAAACAATCGAATCATGAGAAAAATTCATGTTGCTAGCACAGTTTTGCATTTAGTATTTCCAGAAAAAGATCTTAAATTTAAGAGAATGAAAATAGTATTTCTTAAAGTTGTGACAAAAAGTAAGAATGGTTTACTTTGAAGATTTGCTGTTCATCTGAGGCAAAAATAAAATGTGTCTATCTATCTTTTTGAGTAAGAAGTGCCTCCCTTCCGACCAGAAGATCCAACTTAGTAAAAGTTTTAGTAATTCTCTCTTCCAACACGACCCAGATGAGCTGAAAATTAGAAAAGATACATGGCAATGTATTGACTGTAGAAACTGCAAATCATTGTTTCTCCTTTCATTGAATAAAAAGTCTTTTCTGTTTTTTACTGCTGAACAAAAAAAATGGCAGATACCCAACCTTATTTTACATCAATTAACCCAACAAGAGGAGCTACACATTGGGTTTCCTTATAGGATGGCAAAGGTCTGACAGGAGGCCACATCCACTTTTTAATACATCGTTCACACTTTATATCTCTGCTATAAGCCCTTCTATTATTTTCTAAACAAATAGTCCCAGCCTGTCTCTCCTCCTGATGGAGACTGCTTTTTCATGCTGAAATCCTGGCTTTCTTAAAATCAGCAGAAGTTTTGCCACTGAATTTTAGCAGGGTCAATATTTTACTCTCATTTTTTGGTCATTTTAGTTAATGATTTCACTTGATCTCTGTATCCTGGATTATACAGCCCACTCAGCTGAACACTCGGTGTTCATTTAAGTGAAGTAGTTAACTGTGTCCTTATTTTTTCTTCCGTTTTAACAAATCAAAGTGTTTGATTTTTTCTCTGCCAACCGAGCTACGAACACTGTAACCTTAGTCTCTCCGTGCCCTGATTTGCAGTATATTGTATGCTACAGAGGTGTGGAATTGGATTAAAAGCTACAGCACGGTGCTCTGCAGATAAACCCACTGCAGGTGAGCAGTTTAATAGGATTTTAATTTGGTAACAAGGGAACAAAGACAGGAAGCCCAGAATGGGATTTTCTAGATGAAAAAAATGCTATTCGTGCTGAGAGAAGGCAACTGCAAGCTCTGTGATAAGGAATAAAGATCAAGCCAATGCTCTCTGAGCTGCACTTTTGTAGATTACAACTCACTCAGAGCATCTTCGTTACCACCACCAGTTTCAACAATTCCTAGTTCATACTATGTGCGTTTGGTTATATGGTATTTCATCTGCCACACTCCCCTTTAAGCCGGCGTGTTTAAATCTTGTATTGCCTTACTCCCTGCCTCCTGTATTTCATTATATAAAAATAACGTTTTCCTCGAGAGATGTTACCAACTTGGAATGTATTCCGCTTTCAAGATTATTAACAATTATTTTCGTGCTTCAAATTATTAAAGAAATATTCCGAAATGTGCTGTGCTGTTCAAAATAAATGGAAAAACATGGTCTCTCTGCCAAGGAGTGTGATTTGTATTTAGCATGAAGTAGGAATGGAGGACCAAAAACAGATGGGGAAGGAAAAGGAAGAATGAAGGTGACAATTGAAAGATCATGAAGGGATCTGCTGAGCCACAGACACATATTGATGCTGCTGATATCAGGGCAAGGTTGGGAAATTCTTTTCTAATTTCTGTTACCAGTCTTCCTTCTCATTTTTCCAGGGTTTCACAGCAAAACCGAGTTTTTAGCACTAATTTCAATGAGATGAGGGTGGAGGTGCGATGAACAGATTTTTTTTCCCAAGCATAGCAGGCTGTAGAGAAGGCATAGAAATGCCTTGTGGGACAAGATGAAAAAGATACGGAGGTTGGTGTTGTTGGCAGAGGACAGAGTGGAGGAAGGGAACTGACGAAAGACACCGGGTCGCAGAGAGCTGCAGAGGCTGTGTGTAGTGGGGGAATAAAAAGGAAAAATTATAAAATGTACCTGTGATGCACAGAGGGATATGTCAGGCAGCAAAATGCGGTCCAGGAAACAGCAGCGTGGCTGGTGAATGCCGCTGAGGCTGCTGAGTGTTTAGGTACCCCGCAGAACGGGTTGTGGCCGAAGGGGGATTAGTCAGGAGCAGGGACAGATGGTTGCTTGGGAGCATAATGATGATTTTTGGTGATCAAAAGCCACAGAATACAAATCCTTAGGCAATGGGAATCTATTCAGCGAATCTACAGACATGGTGATATGAACTAAGTGGTGGGTGATGGAGATGCTTTTGACAGCTGTGTTTTTCAGCAGCCTGTGGAATGAGCATTGACACCCAGAGAAGGAGCCTGCAATGGTTGAGGTGGGAGCTACCACCCGTTTGAAGGAGACAAGTAGGCAGAAGTGCTCACTCACTCTGTCACAGCTCCTGAAACCCTTTTAAGTGGCAAGTTCAAGTTTTTCAGCTCCCTCACAAACTGCAAACGCTTGAACCACAGCATCAGCAGGCTCTTACTAAGAATCTTCTTTTCATTCCATCGTTATCAGCATCTTGCACATGGACTGGTAGAATCAATCTGCTGTTGGGATATTTTATCTCCAAGCTCTTTCTGCAGTTTCCCCGTCCTTCACTGTCTCCTTCCCCAATCCATACTTTCTCTCAAGTCCTCCTACTCCCTTACTCTAACACCCCTCATCCCTCACTCTAATCACCCTTGCTCTGTTCTTGAGATCATGTGCAAAATATGCAAAACCAATACACATAACTACAGGCACATCACTTACTTACACAGACAAAACCTGGGTCAAACCCTTGTCTGCTGACAGCTGCATAAGAGCATTGTAATGGGCATAGTGGGCCATACAAAAGCCCGTATGGGCAGCACAGTGAAAGAGCATAGGAAGCAGGGCAGATATGGAATAAGATTTCTACTGTTTTCTCTCCTAATTTCTGACCATCAATGGTTTAGAGATTCCTTGCTCGTAGCCTGCACCCAGCTCAGTTTGTTTTTTGATGTTAAGGTGGTGTGGCAGGATGAGTCATTATATTTTGAAAAATAAAAAAAGCTGTCAAACATGCCCACCACATGTATAAATCATTCTTGGTTTGTCCCCTTGGTGCCTTCTTTCTCCCCTCCAATTTTCATTGCTAAGCTAGTTTTAGCATATCTTATATTTAAATACAAGAGTCCACCAAGGGTCTTTAATAAAGATGTTTTTAAAACAGTTAATTTCCAGTACTGCTCCTAGTTCATGGAAGCTGAATACATCTTGTGAATAAAATAACTATAGCAGGATCACCTCAAAAATGTAACTTTCTTCGTGAGTCTTGGTGCCATTAATATTTGTCCAGCACTAGAAAACACAGTGTTCTCTGAGACGTAAGACAAGTGCTGTTACTGAATGGAAGAGAAATCTGAAAACAGCTGAATGTCTAATTCATCACTTCTATTATGCACAGAGGCTTGATCCATATTCCCATATGTCCTTATATTTAGCCTTGTATCCTAGGAAGACTTAGAGCCTATCTTGTTTTCTATCTGTATGTCATCCCTTATGCTAGCAAGTTTGAAGCAGTGGCCTGACTGCAAGGAAGACTGGTAGAGCAGAAAGGTCTCAAGGATTTCACACTTCTGCATCTTTTGATAAAACTAACAGGTAGGTGGAGGAAAGAGAGTCTCTTAGTCCTTCCAACAGCAAGAAAAGACCACACCACGTGCTCTCTCATCCCACCAATAAATGCATGCAGCTGGTTTGTCAGCTAGCCCACAAGCTGCTCCCAACCCACCAGAATAGCGTTGCTCTTGCTTAGACCACGCTCGGGCAATCTGAAGGAGCGCCAAAAGTCTGCTGGAAACCTAAGGAAAGAACCAGGAAACTGCAGCAATGGAGAGGTGAGTAGTGTGGAGATCACCGTCCCTCGACAGGGTTGTGGAGTGGGTGAGGGCTGTGGAAGATGCTTTGTGGCCTGAGGTTTAGGTGACAATGGATACAGCTCCATGCAAACCTAGATTTCATTAGTTCTACTTTACACACATAAAAACTCCCAATCAACCAACCAACCAACCAACCACACTCCTCCCAATCCTTCCCATTTACCCAGTTTATAACTCTTTTTTTCTGTAGTTTTCTTTAAAGTTAATGTTTATTTCACCTTGATGCCTGTGGCTGTGTCCAACGAACAACTCAGAACTCTGGGAAAATTTCATTTAATCCTAAATTATTCTGGCTCTGTGTCAAAGTCATGACAGCTGTCTGTGGAGCGTTGATGTGAGGTTGCCCCTCTGCAGAATAGCCCCAGAGATGGCTGGGCTCATAAACCCACAGAACAGGGGACTCGTTTTGCTTTGGGACCCAGAAACTTTCATCTCCCTCCTCCTCCATATGGGACAGGAAAATGTGAGCCACAAAGTCCATAAGTAGCAAATTAAACAAATGCCAGGATCCTAGGTTTAAAGAAAAACAAAAATAATTTTAACCACCTCTTCATTTGCTTATCTTCATTGCGTGTTCTTTTTTGAAAGGCTTCATTATAGTAATGAGCTAGACAAAGCAGCGGAATACCACTCATCAAATAGTACTTACAAACTTATGTACTTCCAAATATCACAGCAAAATAGGCACAAACTGCAGATTTTAAACATAAGCAAAAGCCTTTTCCCCTTATTTTAGCTAGAGAGGAAAGTGTACTTGTGTTTATTTGCTTTCCTGTTCAAGTTCTTCCCCCACATTCACTGCTACTACAAGGCTTACCAACAGCCACGTATTATCCCCATTCTCCCCTCAGATAGATTAATCATTCCACCTCTTCCTGAGCAAACCCTCCTACAGACATCTGTGTGTCTTGTATCTATGACATTAAATGGCCTACCTTGCAGCTTGGGGCATAACTGCTAAAAGTCAAGAGAGACTCACTGAGGCCACTGACTCTTGAATCATACCTTGGTTGAAAACCCTTATGATAAGGAGTAGGCCTTCTTCCATGCCATAAATCCGCATAGGAATTCATGAAGCAATTCATAACCTCTGCATCCCACAAACATGTTTACATGGACAACAACAAGGAGATACCACAATTTATATGAATGACCAAGGTTTACAGAGCTTTAAAAATGAAAAATACTGCCTCTTTTGATGTTATATGTGTCTGACAAGCTGCTGCTTCTGCTGTTCGTCCGTGAGCGTTTCTAACAGTCTTACAGGTGTTTTCAATATATTCAGTAAGAGTAAGCATGAAACAAAAGCTATCACTCCAGTTGTCCCTTGGGATGATACAAAGGGACAATTTTGAAAACGTAGTAGGCTGAAGCAGCTGCTTTCAAAAGAGGAATGCACAGGTCACAGTCCAGCCAGCGTGGCTCAGCAGCACATCCCTGAATGCCTTGGAAGAAAGACCAGTAAGGAAAAGGAGGTGCACCAGCTGACGTGAAGCTCTCTGATGGAGATATGTAGAGGTACATTTGCTGGAAAGGAGGTGGAACTGAAAGAGCTGTAAAGGTCCCATTAGCCCTGACTACTGTAGCACACTTGCTCCTTGCTGCCTTACAGCGGGGGTAACTGCACATTCCTCTGATCACACTTGGACATTCACCCATGTGGAGGCTGGGCTGGAAAAGGGTAAAAGTCAATCCTAAATTCAGAGGGGTGAGTATGCCAGCTTATTACATGTGCCAGAAGTGCCAAGCTCCAAGGCAAGAGTAAGCCCCAGACAGAAGTAAGTTTGGGTTTGGTTACTGATATGTGGTTTATTTTGTGGGGAGGCACACTGCATTAACATGACACTCACACATTTCCCTAAGTAATTGTGTGTCCTCAGTGTGGGTGCTATATATTTTGACTTCCAGGCTGCCCGTCATTCCTGCAAGAAATGCTGAGATTTAAGAAATTTCTGAAAAGCAATGACTCTGAGCACAGAACTTTTACACCAGATGTCTTGTTAACATAACGGCTTCAGCCTTGCCCACTAAAATTCAAAATACTACTGGAATAGAAACATGGGAAAGAAGGGATGTTGTTAGGTCCTATAGCCCAACATCTTAAAGAACCAAAGGTATTAAGAAAGAAGATAATAATGATCAAATTAATTGGAGCATCACAGAAAAAGATTAAAAGACATTTAAACTGAAAGAGGGTAGATTTAGATTAGATATAAGGAGGAAATTTTTTACAATGAGGGTGGTGAGGCACTGGAACAGGTTGCGCAGAGAAGTGGCAGATGCCCCATCCCTGGAAGTGTTTAGGGCCAGGTTGGATGTGGCTTTGGGCAACCTGGTGTAGTGGAAGGTGTCCCTGCCCATGGCAGGGAGGTTGGAACTAGAAGATCTTTAAGGTCCCTTCCAACGCAAACCATTCTTTAATTCTATGATTCTATGATTTTTTTACCTCTCTCATATGTGAGAATAAATTAAATCTTAGAGCTACTGAAGTATAGTGGGAAGACTGTCATAAATGGAGTGAAAATATCATTTGTAACTAGTTTAAGCAAGGCTCAGCAAAGGAAGGGATGCTCTTCGTCAGTTGTGTTCCCAACTACTGACAACTGTGGAAAAGGGAAGCAATTCATTATACTCTTCTTGTGGTGGAAAGAGGGAAAAGGATTTCATCATGGGGAATTTCAATAAACATTATGCTTCCAGTGCTGTCGTTGGAATTCATTCCTAATTTCCTCATTGCCCAAAATAGTGCATGTGACATTGGAGAGTTTTGTGCAGAACTCCGCTGGAGAGAGAGAAAGGAATGATTATTTTATTATTACTGTAATGCAGCAGCTGATGGACAAGGGACGCGACTATGCTATGTTCCCTGCAGACACAGAACAAAACTCGAATCCTGCTCCAGAGAGTTTGCAATCTAGATATAAGGCAAAAGGTAGCAGCTAGATGCAGAAAGGGGTGTGCACATACGTGCACAAACACCGGCATCAGCGGGGGAAGAATACTGAAGACTACAAAAGGCAACGACCTTAACATACCCCTTTGTTAGGTCTTTGTAGGAAACACATGAAAGTATGGTTTTGAAGGGGAATTTCAAAGACAACAATGAGGTTTTCTTTGGCTATTTGTGTGAAGACTCATCTGACAGAAGAGGGAAAAAATATGAAGGTGCTCCTTTGAAAATCTAAAAAGCAGTTCATGCAGTTTAGGGTCAGATGCTGCTCACAGGAGATGGTGCATTTCTGAAGAGTGAATAATAGAAAGAGAGCCTCTGAGAGGTTTTACCAATGAGGAGAGAGGCAGGTAGGGTTGATGCAATAAAGAAATGGAAGAGACTGAACTGATTCAAGACATGGTTGTACCACTTCGAGCCACTTTGAGTGAATGTGACTGCACAGTCCCTTCACTCCTCCTGCCTTGCACTGGTGTGGGATGGATCTGATGCTTGACAGCCCAGATCCCTAAAACAGAGAGAAAACTAACCCAGCTAAAGGAATGACTAGTTTTCAGTCAGTTTATCACCTTAAACAGGCTTGCTGCTGGCTAGGCAAGCACTCATGTCAGTGCAAGGTATAACGAAAAGAAAGGAGCATCTAGCTGTAGTCAGAGGAACTAACTGCCTTTTTGGCAAGTAGTTATCGCAGTGGCTCTGCTCTGGCTGAATTATGCGGGAAGAACTTGAAGGACTGGGAGCTATCACTTAAGAGATCTGGAATTTTTCTGGTTTGGGATATTAGTAGCCCCAGCTCTCCATCACACCCTTCTGCTGGGTTATGCAGCTCTTGTAGGGAGGGAGAGCAGAGGTTCACACACCTCAGGCAGCTGTTCCCCATATTTCCACAAACGACGGCTTCTGCCAAAAGAGGGAGTCCTGCCCTTCCCACCATCTCCAGCTGCATACTCCTACTTTCCTCCCTTCTGCTTGTCCTAGACTTTGGATCAGAAAACAAATCCGATTGGAAACCAGGCATGTAATTTCCCTGATCTGACTAGCCACATCACTCGGTGAACAGTGCTGCTTGATGCCAGGAATGGAGCAGGCGGAAGCAATGCCCCTCTTCACTGTAGCTTGAATTTATGTCAGTTAAAATGATTTGGTGCCTCTGCCATCTCAGGGCACAGAAGGACGTGTCAGATGAGAGTCACAAAGATCCTACTTACCAAAACTGTCTGCATAGTTGAGTGTTATAACCTTGCCTACTGCATTCAGTAGGAAATTCCATCTCAACTGGAAATCCAATGCCCATTTTCTAAACTCCTCTTTACTCCTGCTTGGCTGCAGATAGAGAAAAAAAACTGCTTTAGGATAAAGTTGGTTAAAAGAATTCCTTATTGTGTTACAGAGTATTTCCCCGTACGAACTGCATACAAAGGTGGAACAAGCAGTTATTTTGTTAGAATCCCAAAATAACTTAGGTTGAAAGGAATCTTTGGACATCATCTAATCCAATCTCTTGCTCAAAGCATGGTCAGCTTAGTTCAGGCGTTGTCCAGCCAAGTTCTGAATATCTCCAGGATGGAGATTCCACAGCTTTTCCAGGAATCCCTTCCCATGCTTAACTACTCTCATGGTAATTTGTTTTTCCTTTTTATCTGTTAAAAATTCTCTTCGCTGCAACTTGTGTCTATTTCCTTATGCCCTATAACTGTGAACCCCCAGGAAAACTCCTGCTCCATCTTCTCTGTACCATCCGGTGTGGTAGCTGAGGGTTCTCATTAGGTCTCATGCACCATGAGATGAAGGCACTGCGGAACTGCAAAGTACTATTCTTAGTTCAAAAAAAAAAAAAAATTAGGAAATAATCAAGCTAAAGAAGTACTGTTTGCCTTGCTTCTTTAGAAAGGGAAAAAAAACCCCACCTTTACCACCTCCCAAACCCAAGTTAATTGGTCTGGCAACCAACTGAATGCAGTGGTACCATCAAGCTACTGCTAATTCTGAATCAGTGACGGAACAGGGGTAGTAGAGTTGGTAACATCTGGAAAGGTGCATAGGCGAGGATGATCGTACTTGAATCTTTCACAAGAGCTAGAGACCTTGTACTAGAAATTGCCACTCTCCTACTACCTGTTAAAAGTCAACAAGTTCTTGAATCAACAGTTTCAGGAATCATTAAATGTTCTCTTCATTTTTGCTAACATTTTTCTTCTGAATTTTGGTTTATTAGGGACTGTTATATTATGTGTCTACGAAATGAGAGCAGATACTGAAACCACCCAAGTGGATCTATGAGCAGAAATATGCTTGTAGTTGTTTGCACAGATGGAATTTTTGTATGCCAATTAATTCCCTTTTTTCTGCAGCACGCATAAATTGTATTTATGCAAATCTGCAGTCTGGTCAGGTTGCTAGTGTACAGTGTAGCTCCCGCAGGCTAGTGACAGTCAGCATGTAGCAGGATAAAGGATGTGACCACTTTTTTCTTTTCTGAAATTATTAAATTAATTTTCTACCTGAATGATGAAAGTCTGAATATTTGAAGACACACAGTTCAGGAGAAACCGAATATCTGTGGAAGGTGCCAGCAAAGACACTAAGTCGTTCAAACCTATGAAATATAGAAGGAAGATCATTACTTGAAGTGATTGTCTTGCTTTTTGATTCGTTTACGCCGTTTTTAGCTTTTTTTTTCTTTTATCTTTAGCTTAAAATATATTAAGACATCTGTTTATAGCATTTTGATTAGCATCATTATATTCCATTAGTGAGGAATAGTACCCTACTTTGAAACCAGTCAGAATTCGTGATTCTGTCAATTTCCACCATATCTACACTGACCTAGTCATCATGGCATAGGTGGCATGAATAAACACTTCCAATGTGAAAGATGGAATTTGGTTATATGCAATACCAACTTACTTATCTGAGATTTTATGTGGTTGAGAAAAAAAATATCTTGGTTTATCGGTTCGGAGCAGAAAACAATTTTAAAACAATAACAGAAAATGCAGAATATTCTGAAGACCAACAGAAACATATATAATATTGCCACATATCTGTGCAGCTGTTCACCCAAAAGGTTAGAACGTACCACCCAGTGCCAAAAGGTACATCATTATGGCATCTCTCTGAGTTTATACCCTTCTAACTGAGACATCTTCCTTCAAGAAGGCATATAGATAGGATCTGTGAAACTTTGCTTATTATGAATAACAATTTGGAAAAGCAATGAAAACAGAGAATACACCTCGGAAAGGATAAGATCATCATTAACATAATGAGCAAATGTAATAAAAGCGTTCTGCGTAGTGTTTTTGATTTTAAGCCATATATAAATATTATTTAAATGGTTCTGCTGATGGTTCTGTGAAGAAGGCAAATTATTATTCCCACTGAAAGCAGTCATGGAAAGGCTGTGGTGCATCCCTTGTCAGCGAGCAAGTCAGTGACAGGCCAGGAACAAAGAGCTGAGGTTTCCCCCTGTCAGTTCCATGCACAACTTGCCCGTCTCTTGCTAATAACTTAAATGGCAGCCCACTAATCTAAAAATTAATTTGCCGTTATGTTCCCATCCTTTTTCATTAAGCTGGCAAGTGCATTATGTCATGGCTGCATGCAAACTGTATTTTACTGTTTACAGCAGCGCATCAATTCCACAGGCTGCAATACAGTGAAAGGACACGAAACCTGAAAGGCCCATAGTCCTCGCTCAGTTCATCATACAATATTTTAAAATCTGGCCAGAAGAAATGATTTTGTGTACTTTGATAAATAACAGAGGAAAATGTGAAATACAACTCTTGGAAACTTCTTTCTTGTTGAAGAAAAAGGTAAAAAATTAGTATCCCTGTTTGTCCACCTTCTTCTAGAAGATACATCATTTAGTAACACAAACACCACTCTTGCTGCCATAGAAAGCTTTAAGAGAGAGTCAAGAACGGAAAGCCTTTCATTCTTAACCTTTAAAGTCAAAAGGGTAATATTACATGCTCCATTCTCAATTTTACTGGCTCTTTTCCAGTACTTCGGGTTACAGCAAGACACTAATTCCCATTAGGGCAGATACCATGAACAAACAAGAGGAAATGCTGGAGCTTGAACAATGGCAAGCAAGGGCTTAAGTGGATAGACAAAATATAACACACAAAAGAAAATTACATTTGAGTTCTAGGCCATTCTGCAGCTCCCTTGGTTTCCTAGACTCCACTTGAAAGAGGTTTCCAGGCACATCCAGAAATCCCTGATTGATGACAGCACGCAAGTTTGATTGCAGAACAGTGACTTTGCTGTTGCTGTTCAAGACTGTTCTCATTGTCTATAGATAATAAGAAAACAGTTAATGCCTTTCACTTTCTCAAACCCTGAACTAAGTCAAAAAGCTTCCATTCTTCAATACTAAACTTTATATAACCAGTCTCCAAACTGGGAAAAAAAAATAATCAAAGGAGATGAATCTTAAGTCGTCTTCAAGGGTTTTTTGTTATGGGAGATATTCTTTTCAATGACACTCTGTGATGGAGCAGACAAGGCTAACATGCTTGAAGTATTTGGGCAATTGACTGGGCAGTTGGTTTTGCATAGAGTTATTGTAGTTAGGCCAAATAATGGTATTTTGTCTAAAACATGGAATGGTGTATCATGGCTGACTTTCCCTTGATGTTACCTGTCCTTAGTACATGTCTCAATACAATTCAAAGGTAAATTTTCTGAGGTTGCCCAAACCTTTGAGAAGGTAAAAATAATATAAGAAATATAGTATTAGTTAAAATAATATTAGTTGGGATTTTATCCCATTTATCTGCTTACGAGTAATTTGTGAATGAATCTGGCTTAACATTTGTCTCAAAAAGTGTTACTCACATAGATATTGCAATCAATTTTAAGCCTAATATTTGATCCTCATCTCTTCACTTTTTTTTTTTTAATTTAATTGCTAATATCAAGCAGTATTGCTTCAGATTCTTGATGAAATTATGAAAATGGTGAAGGAAATTAAACTTAAACCTGTTAAAATTTGTTAATCCATACATTCAGTCTCTCACTTCCATACTGAAATCAGTAAGATCCTAAAGCCTTTGTTGAATTTTGGGCCTTTATATGAATAATCCATGTCCATTTTGGCCTTCCAGAGTAGAATAATTCTTGTAAACTTCATAAAAACTTCAGGATTCATAAACACTTTAACCAGTCCCATTCACCAGGTGCTTACTATGGTTTTGCAAACTGCAGTGAATGCAGCTGCCCGTTTGTTTGCAAACATAATTCCCAATCTGGCCATTTTTCAACATACTGCTAGCTTTACTGAAATGCCAAAAGTGCTCTGATTCTCACTTGGTAATCCCCTTCAGCTGAGTTAAAGACAAAGTCTTTTCTCTTATTTTACTTGGAGTTTGCAGTGTCAGAAGAAGAGCTGCTGCTTGCAACAGGAACACATGACCAGGAGGCTAGGAGGTCCCAGGAGCAACACCTTCAGCACGCTGCTAGAGCCCGACTCCGTGCCCCAGTGTTTTAGCCCAGTCCCTTCAGCTGTTGCACTTCGCTACGCTAAATATAATTCTCTAAATGGTTGAGAGCCAGCTCTGACAACACTTGAATACAACTTACCAGAGGCAGGAATCAGCCTCAAGAAATGACAAGCAGCATATTCACATTCTTTTCTCGCAGGGAATTGACACCTTTTTATGCTCTAATTACTTCTGCATGCCCAGGTAGTAGCAGCTGTCAGCCTGCTTTATCTACACAGGATGGGAAAGTTACTTTTTTTTTCTTTTGAATGCTGATCCCACCAAAATTATTCCTATTTTCTCACCAGGTGGCTAAATGATTACAAAGTACTCTTCTACAAGGGACAGTGTGGTTACACCATTAGGAGGCTGCAGCTGCACAGCTCCTCCATAGTGCTTCTCATTAGGAGCACTGACACCTGCTTTGACCATCAGTCTCCAATTGAAATTCAATGTGCATTTTAGAGAAAAATGAGAAGGATGATTAGAAATATCAAATTACTCCAATGTAAGAAGATTGAATAAACTTCAACTTCAGATAGAAATAACTGAGGAAGGATAAGATGAAGGTTTGCAGGAAGAATTGCATGAAGAAGGGCAGAAATTTTAAAGCTAATAAAAGAAAGTACATACAAAAGCACTCAAACCCTGGAACTCACTATGCCAAGATGTTGCGGATGCCAAAATCAAGATATTAAATACCAAGATGTGGATACAACCTTCATCTCAGATTCCTGGAAGCCAGGAGAGTACAATGGAGAAGAAGTGAGGTATCATTACTCATACCCACTTCATGTGACCATCTCATGAGGGCCATCAAGGGAAATGCGACATGGGTCCACATAAGCTGAGAATCAGGTCTGGCTGACTGAAACACTCAACAGTGCTTTCTGAAGGACATCTGCCTCCCCACTAAGCATTTGTGTGTTTCTCACAACCTGAAAATTTTAAACACCTATGCTATTCAGCTAACCATCTTCTGGTGTGCATTGGACAGGGGGGTGCATTTGCAGGAGAATGTTTAGCTGGTATTTGTTTCCTTCTCTGTTTCACTGAAGCTTAGTATCCATGGCTTTGGTGAAATCTCTAACAGAAGTTGTAATAGAGGCTATGTGACCACTGAAAGACTACGGGGCTGCTCATTTACAAGACTTACATGATTTCACTCATTGAAACCATTGTTTTTAAATTGCCGATGGGACTAATCATCAGGTACACTGGAACTCCTTTGCCCTTCCCTTGTATTTTAAAGAGGCTCTAGAGAAGTTGCAAACATCATTTACTTGTGAGAACTGTGCCAAGAGCTCATTTAGCATGAACGAGAACCATGCGCAGAATGTGCTCAGCTGTAAGAGTAGATCTGACCCCGATTCTCAGGTCTGGAGGTTCACTTTGTGCCGGTTAAACAGCATAAAGGGGATGTAGAGCAGCCAGAGGCTGACACTAGAGAGCTCCTCCCAACTAGGCTGAAATTCTCTTGCCTTAAATCTTGAGGGCGTAAATTCAATGTTGACTCTCTACGACTTTTCTGCACATTAGGAATAGGCAGAGAAGTAAATAGCTGCAACCAGCCCCTTGACATTGCAGCTCGAGCACAAGGATGATCTAAAGTCTGAGTACGCAAATCAAACGCAAATGACTGGGAATAGCTGGCACTTGCAGTCTTCCTGGATCATGTTCTTCAATGCGTAAGAAGCACTATTCAGAAGCACATAAAGCTGAGCTTTTCAAGTATTTAGCATCTCCAAGGGCTGCTGCAGAAAATGGAAACTGCCAGTGCTCAGCACCTCACAGAACTCAACCTTTTGCCTGTGTTAGCTCACCTATGCATGTTTGTGCATTACTATGATTTTTTAAAACTTTTTTTAAATAAGATGTGTCATTTATGTGTTGCTGATGATGAGTTTTCCCATAAAAAGAAGCTACATTTATTAAGGAAGAATGTGACATTGCCATGCAGTTCATGAGGCCATAGTTCCCTTCCTCCCTCCCCTTTATTGTGGGGACACAATGTAGTGATTTAAGCCAGGCGGCATGTTGAGAGAATCTTGTACTTGTTGTTTGAAGGAGAGGAAACAATATACCACATGTTCTCTTCTGCTTTCTTCCCCATTCGTGACCTCTCTGTTCTGTTGTGGCCCAGAACACATCAAAACCCAAGGTTTTGGAAATATCCAAGGACACCAATGGAAGGAACGTTGCAGGCAAGGTACAGCCCCTCATAATAACGCAGCACTGAATGAAACAATTTACTTCATAGTGTTCAAAGGGTTAAAAATGTAGCTCCTGGATGCATCTCCTTTGTCACTGTGGCTGAGAAGAATGATGCTGTGGATCAAAAAGCAGGCAGAGATAAACATTGCTAGATTTTATCTCTTTCTTCCCAAAGAAAAAAGCCAATCTGAACGATGACCGTAAGAAGGAAAACTCAGAGGCTGCTTCCCTGCAGTGCTCCTTCCAGCACTGTCCTGTCAGAGGATAGAGAAGATTTTGCCAGCTGATCCTCAAAATCCATGAAAAGGTCTTGTGCCCCTACAGACCTCACATCCTGCTCCCTGACCATGCAGCTTCTCTGCAGCTGGCATATCAGCGATTTCCCCCATGCGGGCTGCTGCAGCACTCGTCAGAAAGAATGATCAGGACGTTATGTAAAATCAATTTTAGAATAACTCCAGCACGTGCTATCTGACTGGCTTTTGCATGGCTGGGAGAAGATACTGGAAACTTTCATCTGACCCTTCCAGCTGCTGCATTCTCCTCTCCATGGGGGCCATTGATCATATCTCGAGGCTTTTATAGAATCCAGAGGGAGGAAAAGGCCTCATCAGCATACTTACAATGTGGGAAGAGATGGGTAGGAGGGTGAGAATTACTTGGACCACGGTCAGTATACAGCTAAGAACACCTGTGCTGCTGCTGTTGTCCTACAATGGAGCATCTCATAAATAGTCCAAACTGCTTGAGTAAATGAGATGCCCATTTTTTTTTTGTTTCATGGATTCTGGAACATACCTTGATGATGCTAGAAAGGTCTGTCTTTCTCTTGAGTCTTTTTGTAAAAACTTTAACTTCTGTTAAAGAAAAAGAGGCAGATGTTTCGTATTGTTAATATCTTACCGTCTAAAAGACAATAATGAAAACAGATCTCTTAAGTTAGAAAGTAGCTCCTTAGAGGAGCAACGGGCTAGCAGAGGGGTCCACAGGGGCACTGAGCCAGGGGCACTGGCCAGACTGAGGACCCTCGCCGTTTAAAGCCTGCAAGTAGAAACTGCCCAGGTCACCACTCTTCTTTCACCGCAAATCTGTTAACCCATGACACACAGGAAAAATACTTCCAATATTTTTTACATTAAATACTTCTTGATCAGGACTAATACTCTTTTACATGTATGGTTTAAGGTGAATGAAAGCAACATTAATTCTAAACCTCCTATATTTTATGCAGAGGGTTTACATCTCCACCTTTATGTATCTGTAATTCTGCAGCACTGTTAATAGGAGTTGGTTTCTTTTGTTCTATTTTCTCTTGTTTATAATGTGTTGTAATTATGACCAGCATGGTCCAAGAATATCTTTTTTAGCAATAAAATATAAAATGATTGATTCTTAGTTGTCGGGGAAGTTTCCTGGCTGCTACATGGGAAGCACCTGTGCCTTGTCGAGACAGGTGCTGCAAGTCACGTTGGCCAGCTGGAGACCACGTGACCTATGGGAGGCTTAAAGGTGGGGCACTCCCCTCAGGGAGGGGGGCAGTTCCCTCCTGGGTACTGGAGTGGTAGGAGCCCTTGGAGAGCGGTGTATTGGAGCTCTCGGTTGAATAGCCTTCTGATTGAGAGAGCAGTGAGTTGAGGCTCTCTGTTGGATAGCCTTCGATTGGGTCTATTAGGATTGAGACCCTTAAGAGTTGAGATGAAGCCTTCTGATATATGAGGGGAATCACAACGGCCTTCTGGGTTGTGATTCCTGAAGATGAGATACCAGCAGTCCACGACACTTAGTTACAGGAAAATTGAGTATAAAGCAACTTACAAACTTCTGTAGACAGGCAATGGTTTTTCAAGTGAAAAATTTCTGTTTCCCTGAAGTTTATACAAGCCCAAAAGACCAGGAGGTATATCCAAAGGGTCGCATCTGATTAATTACATATACTTCCACAAACACATGTTAAAATAGATTACTAAATTTACTCTGTCAAGCAATCAAATGTAAGAAATGCCAGAACTAAGACTGTCTGCAAGTCTTCCTTGAGCATATGAGTGCTAATAGAATCTTTTGTCTACACAGGAGCCCTGCTTTTCCACTGAGGAGTTTGCTGTTCACTCAACTGAGTTGCTCACTGCAACTGAGCAGCATTACGTTTTAGCCAGAATCTTCAGCATCATATATAAATATCTGTGTGTATGTATGTACATACATATTTACAAACACACACGTATTCACACACCTTTGTATAGTACAGATTTTTTCAAATCCTCCTCTAATGACACAGTCATAATTTCTCTATGGGACTATGGCTTTTTTTCCCCTTTATACTGTATTGCGCTATAGCCGTTAATTAATCTGCCTAAAACCACTTGCAAGGTGAAGAGGTAGAACAATACCTAAATTTCAGAGGGCAGACTGCATATTATTCAGTCATCTACACAGCCGAAGTGATCATGGCAAGAGACAGATCTTTAAAAGGATTCAAATACACTTTAATTTACCATGAATTGGGAATAATTTTGGCTTAAATTTGTTCTCACACATTATCTGAGACTATTTTTAACTATATCCTAACTCACTCTAGTCCCCACTACTAAGGAAGTTACATCAGTTAAAAAAGTGTTTGAAATAATTTCTGTAAGAGTCTTGTAACACAATCTTCTCTGCAGTTTAAGCAAATATTATTTTATGAAAATCTCTCTGTTACTGAAACATACCTTTAGATTTGGATGTTTGGAGTGGTACTGGAAAGCCTTTCAAAGCAGTAAGCAGACAAATTTCAAGATTTTTAGCGAAAAAAGTGATTGAATTCATGTAGTGCACAGGCATATCCTCCAGGAAATCGTGAAATAGGATGCTCTCTATTTCCTAGAATACAAATTCATGGACCTACACATAATTGGGGTACTACAGATATTTACAGCAGCATAAACCAAAATTGTATTGATAGTTTAAATGTAAATGTAAACAAGTCCCTTTTTTTTTCTTCCAATTAACCAATAGCTAAGCTCTGGAGTCCCCAACACAAGAAGGACATGTAGCTGCTGGAGCGGGTCCAGAGGAGGGCCATGAAGATGATCCGAGGGCTGGAGCACCTCTGCTATGAAGACAGGCTGAGAGAGTTGGGGCTGTTCAGCCTAGAGAAGAGAAGGCTCTGGGGTGATCTTATTGAAGCTTTCCAGTACTTAAAGGGGGCCTACAGGAAACCTGGAGAGGGACTTTTTACAAGGGCGTGTAGTGATAAGACAAGGGGCAATGACTTTAAATTGAAAATTGAAAGAGGGCAGATCTAGATTCGAAATAAGGAAGAAATTTTTCACTCAGATGGTGGTGAGGTACTGGAACATGTTGCGCAGAGGAGTTGTAGGTGCCCCATCCCTGGAAGTGTTCAAGGCCAGGTTGGATGAGGCTTTGGGCAAGCTGGTGTAGTGGAGGGTTTCCCTGACCATGGCAGGGAGGTTGGAACTAGATGTTCTTTAAGGTCCCTTCCAACCCTAACCATTCTATGATTCTATGATTCTATGATTCTATGATACCAACAAACTTTGCAGAAGGAAAAAGATTCTAACAATAAATGTAATTTCCTGAATTAGTTACTAGGCACTACTTAATAACCTGCTGTAAATAAGAGGTAAATTATTTTGATCAGAAAACTGTGTATTTCTACGTGGAATGTCACCAAGAAATGTAATAGTGTTCTGTAAAGAAAAATAACTCTTGTAATTTGGAAAACCATTATCTGTCAAAATTTCAGTCACATAACCTCATGCTAGAACCACAAATGACATTTATAACAGTATACTCCATTGATATCAGGGACTTTCAAAGGAATATATAGCAGCTAAATGGAAGTTATCTCAAATTCCACTGGTTCCTTAAAAAATGCCAAAGAAGCCAAAGAACGCACTTGAGGTACAAATGAAAATCCCATTGTACAGCACACAAGAAACAGCTGGCCCTTGTCCTTGGGTAGAACTACCAAAAAGACACAAACACGTAATAACACAATTACAACAAAAAAGTGTGTCTACGGTACCTTGAATAGCTGCCTGTCATAGCTGTTGAACAGCTGGCATGCATCTGGCAAGGACATTAGTGTTATTTTTTCAGGCTGCAGAGACCTCCAGAATGACTTGATACAGCCTTCCACCTGTTGCACAAAGTCCTTTATGAATTTTCACTGATTTTACACTTATGAAATGTGAAGCGTAATTCTGTAAAACAACACACATAGGCACAGAAGCAAAAGAAGAACCGTGGAGCTGGGCTCTTTGTCTGGGCCCATTCTGGCCAGGCTCCAGCACAAGTGGAAGCATCATGGAGCAACAAGCTGAACCTCACAAGGCAGTGTAAGAAAGAGAGAAACAAGGAATTGTTCCATGGACATGTAGGTATAATGAAAGATACGTGTCCATGGCCTTGTGTTTTGTGCTGGGCTCAGACCTGTTGATGTGCCAGGAGCGCTCTGGATTTGCCTACCCACTCAGATTCTCAGAGCATGTGTTAATTAGGAATTCCCGAATAATTTGACTGAATGTTCCTTTTGTTTATAAATTACTACCTACCTTAGATCAAACCATCAAGTAAATAAGCTATGCAGAAAGAATTCTATCCTTACAGTTGTTTGCTGTCGTCAGAATGAGTGTTATTCAAGCAAAGGCATACCTTGTCAAGCTCACTCATTCTCACCATACGTAAAATATCTTGACAGTGGCTGTAGTACTCATTGGCAAGCAGTACAACCTGGAAAGGGTGACCAAAAAGAGGGTACAAAAAGAGCACAGAGGCAAAGAGCTAACTCGCTTGCTGACCAAATGCGTAAACGTACCCCTTCGTAGGAGTATTTCTTCCCAAGCTCTTGCTCCAAAAGATAGTATCTGCTGAATTGAGGCCAAGGGTGCTGAAATCTCTCTTGTTCAGTCTTCAGATAAATGATAGATGGAGAATAGTGCAAATTCTTGCTCTCAATGCATCAGAATTTATTTTGAAAAATAATAAAAAAAAATCCCAATTATCTTGTCAGTTCTGTTAAAGGCATTAAGTATTTTCTTGAAATTGTATAACATCATTGTTACTAAGATGTATTTCTTCAGAGGAATGCTTGTCCTTTTTTTCAGAAAGTAGGGTTGAATGAAAGAAACAAGCATGGCAGACTAAATATTTAAATCCTAAATGGTACATTAATTTATTTTATTTTCAAAACCATGTGAATGCTATACACATATATTTTCTATAGCACTTGTGTCACAGTTGTAACCTTCTAAATAAGGCTGTAGACAGCTGGGTCTATAACAGCAGTGGGGATAACAGCACATTTCTCGTCAGCTGTCATTACTTCCACTTCAGTGCACTCATTGCCACACCCAAGTGCTCTGTAAAAATAAGTCAAAATATCCAATCTCTCCTTTTTGTCCTCACTTTGGTCCACGTAAGTTTGTTGCTCTTGCTCTCCTGGCTGACTTCCAACGACGCCGGTGCCAAGCCAGCCCCTAACAGCGTGCTTGTGGGAGAACCAGCACAGGTTAGCTTCCCATCCGCCCTTGTCGGTCAGAAGGGGTTGCGCTCTTTTTTCTTAATCATCTGTTACCGTGGGCCTCGGGCGAGTTACCATGGGCTAACTCCCTTAATATTCAAAACCTGGACTGTCAGCCACAATTTCCACTCTCAGTACAGATAAAGTTATTTGATTCGACGTTAAGACGACAAAAATATTTAGCTACCAGGTGAAGGAGGAGTGGGGGAAGTAAGCGTTTGGTGAGATTACACAGACAAAGATTATTTTGAAGAAGATGATGGGTTAACTCTATTTCATCAGAACATATTATATAGCAGTTCTAATTAAACACACAGAGAGACATTTTGTTATAAGTCTAATGTATCTGAAACTCACTGTTCTTTCTTCTGGGCTATTGCTCTTGTAACCAGCTGCATCTTCAGAACTGCAGGCATTTCCACTGTGGTAAAATACACAACAGAAGAAAAAAAAAAAACCAACAAACTTTAAAAAGCCCATCAATTTATTCTGTGTTTAGTAAGAAAACGAGCTCAAACTGGATGGAGTGCACTAGGCTGGAGCACTGTGTTTGGGAAACAAACCCCACTCTCTTTCCTGTCATTCAGCAGTCCCATGATTTTCTAATGAGTCTGAAGATCAGTTTCTTAATTTTAAGATAAAACAGAGCCATTCATCACAAAGACAGCAAGGTATCAGCCATTTAACAGTGCAATGTTGTTCAACTTCTTGAAAAATCGTGGGTTTGTAGTTGTAATTGCAGTTCATTTGGAATGATAATAGTAACTATAAACATGCAAATAATGAAAGCACAATCATCCTTGTGCTTTGATGTAACAGTAATTCCATTTTCTGCACCCTATATCAGCTTAGATGGCTTTTTTTTTTTTTTCCAGTTGTCCCCCATTTACTTTGCAAGCCTGCCGTGATGTTCCACACAGTCAGCATTCACCTGGACCTGCAAAGGCTCGATAACCGGCTTTTGGCTGCAAAGCCAGGGATGCGGGCACAGTAGGCTGCTTTCCTGCTTTACCATCTCCTACCTCTCTCCTCCCTGCCTATTTTAGCTGTAGGCTAATCCTAGAGGAGGGAGAGGTGATGTTGCTAGGAAAAGCGGCATGCTGTGAGAGTTGGATTCCTCCAGTCAAGGCCCCATCTGCTACTGACACTTGCTCGCTGTCTGCGAAGGCATTTCAAACTCCACGGTCCTTTTGGACTCGGCTTTTTTTGAAGGGTGACAGGCAGGAGCTTTGTAAAAAAAATGTGCTTCCACTGGTGACTGCCAGCACTCAGGCTGTCTAATCAGATCCCGGCTGCTGGGTTTCGGTGCTGCGGGGTATTATCAGCCAGGGTGTCACCATATGTCCCAAAGGGACGGAGGACCGAAGACAACGGCTTATCTGCATGGAAACTCAAGCCACTCACACTTCTCTGCTTTCCACAGGAGTGACCCTTGCCACTTTTTCTTCTGCCACTACTCTCTGCCATGAAGGCTCCAGTAAAACAACCAAACTGGCAGCGCATGACATTCATGTTGGGTATGTTTGGTAACGCTTTTGACTCTTTCTCCCAGACATTTTAGAGTTGGTGGCTGGACAGAGGGAGAAATGTGTAAGTAGAGCTGTTTCATAACGCTTCTTTTAAATGGGTCCTTCCTGCAGATTTCTAAAGCCTGTGAAAGAAAATTAATGAATATTTTCCAGCTCCTGCTCTCCCGGAGAGGGCGGCCAGCTGTATCTTTTTCTGCTGCTGCTATGGCAACACATATTAGCATCGCTCTTCTCCAGCGGGCTGGCTCTGGCAGCAGGCTGGCCTCCCACTCACCCTCCCCACAGGGACGGCGAGGTGTGAGAAGGGGTGATGACTGGGTCCTCCCTCTCCAGCGGGAGCTTGGTGGCGATTAAGCGCAAATACCTATCTGTGTGCTCCTACTGGTAGCAAAGGGAGTTCGGACTCACCTGGTACCCGCAGAGGTGCTCAGCTGCCAGGCAGAGCTGCTTGCTTTCCCTGGAGAGCGGTGCCTGGGTAAAGACAGGACAGACGAAAGAGGAGGTGGGTGGGAGAAAGGGAAAACGAGTGACAGCAAAATGGCAAGGAGTTTCATCATGTTTCTTGCAGTTTGGATGATGCTATGGGTTGGGAACTAGAGCTACAATGGGAAAAACAATGGTGGAGATGATGAAAAGACTAACAGAGGAGGTGAACGGGAAGGACAAAGGAAAAATGAAAGGAGAGAGGGTGGTGAATGTGCGTGCTGTTGACTGTCAGATTACACTGAGATTAGAAAAGCTAATTAGCTAGAATCATGTCAGTCTTTTTTTATTAAAAAATCATGGATTCGCTTCACTAAAAAGTCAGAATCCCAAACCTTCCCTATTGCTAGATTCATAAAGTAACTCTTACAAAGCTAAAATTCATTGGCATTTTTTAACATTGCCACTCTCCAAGACTCCTTGATCTGCCAGAGCAACTGTAATTTTAGGTAGAGCTCACCCTCAAAGCTCCCATTCCTTGAGGACACCCTATTGTAAGATATATCAGTAAATATCATATTCCCTTAAACCTCCCTAATACATTTGGAGATCTCATTTAGTACAGTTGTGTTTATTTATCCTGCTTGCACAACATCATCATCAGAGCTGTAGTACACATATCTTCAAAAAATCCAAGATTTCTAAATGAACCAACTCACAGATGCTGTATAAAAGCGTCCTCATCACTCCTTGTGTGAATATATTCCAACCCAGCCAACTGACACATTCAAGGCCCCACTGACTATCAAAAGGCAAATGCCACCTTTGCAGTTAAAGGCAAACCGTTAACCATACTACCATTTCTATGACACCAACAAGCAAAGCTCCCCACCTGCCTGACCCTTCACAGGCCCAGTTCCTCACTACCAGCAGCATGCCAATTGCTGACTATCTGAACATGGTCAAGAAATATTCTTTTCAGCAATTAGAGACAGTGGATCATAGTTTTGAAACCAACTCGCAGGTTGGGTGGATGCCTTGGTCTCTCAACTGGGCTCCTGACTCCACCTTCCCCTCACAAAGATGCAACAGAAAAAGCATCTGCATGTAGGGTGCTATTCAGGCATGGAAGGGAGCAATAGTTATTGCAGGTAGAAAAATCTTCACATTTTCATTACTCTTTTTCTAAATTTCAATTTTCTAATTTTTAAAAAAATAGAATTTGCCCTTGCTGGTTTTATCAACTTCATTGGATTATGAAAAATTAATTCTGATTTCAAAAAGTACTGAACTCTACTGAGAGGACAGAAAAGATTAAGTATTTTCTTGATGTGTTCCTATTATTTGCAAAGAATATACAAAACTCAGTACAGATGGAAACAAACTCTCTTATTTGCTTATTTATTTTTGAATCATGCTATTGATGCATCTCTGGCTGTTTTGTGGTTTTTTACTGCTTCCTCTCCATTTTTTTCCTGCTGGCCTTTAACAGACACAAGAAGTAATTGTGACAGCTGACTGTCCAGGTGTTGCAGGTGGCTTGGGACAGGGACCTGTGGTTGCATTTAGAGTAGAAGCTATACTAATTTCAGCTGTCTGGCTTCACACATCAGCTTAGTGACTTCTGTCTTCGATGAAGGAAGCATCAGACAAGATATTTTGTAGTTAAGAGACTTTTCTATTGCAACTAGAAAGATCATCTTTACCTGAATATGATCTTTACATTTTGATTTTTTTTGAGATCTGAAAAGTTATCCCAAGCAACTATATCAAGATCACTAGATAGCTGGTTATGTCGGCCTCCCTTTCCTTGGTTTGACCAAATGAAATACAGTTTTTTAAGAGCACATGTCCAGGCAGGCACCTCTGGCAGCTGATGGAGAAGGAGACGGAGACCTGCAACCATAGCGTGTTCTCAAGCTGGTCAGGGAACATGGCTTGTTTCCATGAGAGAGGCCAAGTACACAAGCTAAGCTGGCATATGTGGTGCTTCCGGCTCCCAGCAGTGGCTAAAGACTTTGTTTCTGCACCTGGCCTGGACTTAACCAACATCTCTTCTTTGGTTCCTCTTTTTGCAATTTTTCAGCATGTTTCTACTCTGGGATGAAAAAGAGCAACAATTCAAATTGTTCTGTTCTCTCTGTCATCTCTTCTATGACCAGAACTAGCAGCTTTCCTACAACGCCCAGCAAGACTGGTGTTTTCAAGTGATGCTGCAGGGAAACACCTTTCTTTCCCTGAAGAAGACAGACAGCAGAGACTCAGCCAGAGACCTGCAATGTTCCTAGAACAATGGTCAAGATCCTTCCTCATTATAGATGTCAAATCTCAGGCCTGTTCTGGTTATACTGGGTGCATGGATAGTGAGGGATATCACTTCATAGATTTCATAGATTTCATAGATTTCTAGGTTGGAAAAGACCTTAGAGATCATCGAGTCCAACCGTCCCTAATCCCCATTAAACCGTATCCCTAAGTAGTTCATCCACCCTATTCTTAAACACATCCAGGGATGGGGACTCAACCACCTCCCTGGGCAGCTTATTCCAGTGG